TATATTTATAGTCACCATATTGAGTAACACATTTCATAACAATCTCTTTCATGGTAAAACTCTATTGTCATAAAATCAACCACAAGCTATTTGCACAATATGAAAATCAAATAATAATTTATAAATTGGTAGTTTTATATGTAAGTCACATTGTCACCACTTGTTTATAAAAATTCTTATGTAGTTTTTTTAATATATAATTCCAATTTTTTAATTATACAATAATTTTTACTAATATTGATTTGAAAATAATTTCAATCAAACATCGTAAATCGAATAAGAGCCCTATTTTGGGATAAAAGAAGTATTTATAATTGGCATATTTTTATGATATAATTTTGATATATCATATTTTTATTATATATATTTATTCAAAACTACATTTAATTGATTGACGAAAAAATTTGATAAAAAAGAGTATTATGCCACTATGCACAAAGTATACATTATGTGAGACCGAATTTGATATAGGAGTTGAAAGGGAAATTGAAATAATTGATAGTGGGATGGATAAAAGGGATTGATAACATAAAGGGTATGATTGGAAGAGATTGACAACATAAATAGCTAATTTGGTAAATAAACAATAAGCAGTGCTAAATGCGTTGTATTATATTAGTTAGAGTGCTACGTAGGGTGATTTCTTAAATAACAATATTACTCCGTACTTGCATAGTCCTTTTGTGAGAATCTTTTCAGGGAAAATGCTAGGAATACACCAAAAGTGTAACCCAAACATCCCCACCCCCTCCATCACCACAAAAAAGTAAGAAAATTTCAAAAAATAAAAATAAAAATTAAAAACAAAATAAAATGAATGATAAAGAGATGAGTGGTGATGGTTGGGATATCTTTGGTGTACCCTTAACATATTCCTCTTTTCAGGGTGAGTTTGTTGATGTGGTGTTAATTTGAAATTAAATATAAAAAACCTGAATAAAAAATACTCCGTATTTGGTAGTACTTAGTAGAACACACTTGCAGCCGTCATTCCCGTCAAACTGACCGATACGGGGTTCTCCTAGAGATGGAGATGGCTGGAGATTGCAAATACTCGTGCAAAACTCCCAGTGAAACTCTTCGATGGATTCTTGCAATCCTGGAGTTCATTAAGCCTTGTCAGTTCTTCTTCGATGCGCATGTCGTCAATTTCTTCAAGGTCTCCTCCTCCCTGCTAAATTTTTAGCATCACAAACATGAATTGTTTATGTGTGCATATGTTTGTTGCTTTTTTAGAGATTTAAGTGCAATTGTATTTGAAATTTACAGGACAGGCTATGGGAAGCTGTGGAGAAAGAGTGGATGGATTGTCTACAAGATGAACCTGTTGAAAATCTAATCCAAATTCCTTCGGGTGTGTTGCAGGTAGCAATTTATGCACCTGCACATTCGATTGGAATTTTTTAATGCACTAACATCCATTGTTCTAGTCCGTATTACTTTTGTATATTTATAGTTTATGTCACCTAAGAAATATACTTTCTAGTTTCTTTTATTTTTATGGAGATCATCAATATTCATTCAGTTATTCAGTAATAAGCTTCTGCTCTTCGGACGGCCGGAATTCATTAAAAACTGTACGCCCTCCATGGGATTTAGTTGTTGACTTTCTAATGAAATCTTGTATTTAAGAAATGAGTTTAAAATGTCAAATAAGTCTTTCACATGAGTTTGCCACTCATTCATGCCAACAATGCTCATGCCTTCTCTCTAGGATATTTTAAACAATATATCATAATTTCTTTGTTGAATATGGAAAGTAGACAACTAGTTCAGGACAAACAAAAACAAGAAGTTGGATAACTAAATACGGACAGAGGGAGTAGCTGTTAGTTGTAAATTTAAGTTGCTATTATTCCTATAAATGTACTAATTTAATCTAATCAGTAGTAGAGGTACAATATTTCCCAGAAACCCAGCCAAAATTGAGCCTGCCATTTCTCATGTGAAACCAAAACTCATTTTGATAGGGATTTTCAAATTGCAATTATGTTCAACTTCAGATGTATGCTGCTTTAAAGATTGGATCGGTTAAGTTTTGATTTATGTTGTTTGAGATTAGGTTTAGGTTTGCTACCATAAAATGTGTAAGGTATGCTACCATAGGTTTGCGTCTGGGAATAATATTTTGAAAGGTAAGGTATGCTACCATAAAATGTGTTCTGCTGTCAATGTTGCCTATATTGGTGAAATTAGGATATATAGGACTAATAGGAGTGCTTGGAGACCTAGGACTAGGATAGTGTTGTAGGTGTTTAGGTTTGATGGTACTTCCTGCACTTGGTGATGTGTGCTTTCTTTGTTTGATGCTTTTTTGTTTCTCTGTGTTTTCCTTCTTTACACTTAGCTTGCTCTGTGCTTTTTGTGTTACTAGAGCTGGGTTTCTATTAGAAAACAACCTCTCTACTTTCGAGTAAGGGTAAGGTCTGCACACACACACCCTCCCCAGATCCTACTCCCGTGGGATTCTACTGGGTTGTTATTGGCGGAAGCATGTGATTTTCTTTTCCCCTAATTTTCCCGTGGGAGTCACCTTTCTTTCATTTCTTTAGTTTAAATGTTCTTTTTGATATAGAAGCAAAACTTTAATATCTTCTTTCACGCTTTGCCAATGATGTCATCAGGATCACTGGCCTGCTTCACTTAAGGAATTTGTCAATTCTCTGAGGTCTCTTTCTCTTCCTAGAAAGCAGGCAAATCTGCAGGAGGTATTACAGTTTCTCTTTTCTGACTTGATTTGATCTTGCTTCTATAGAAGTATGATCCACATTGTTATTTGAATGCTATGAGATAAACTTCTACCATGTTGCTTGACATCTCATTGCACTCTCCTATCATTATTTTCTATTTTCTTCCCCCACCCCGAAACCTTCTCAGTTTATCATTTAGATACCTTAGTGCTGGCAGTTACATGATTGTTAGTTACACTGGTCTTTGTGCTTTCTTACAGGAATTCCCACTATTGCACATGGCCTCTCTGAGTACTGTTCTTGCTCAAGGCATGAACCGTAAGAAAAGACACGAAGTAAGACATGGAATATTCTTATTATCATTCATATTTAAACTTCCTTTAGTTGCTCTTTTTTTCTGAAGATATGCTATGCCTGGATGACATTGGAAATGTCTCACCATTGTTGTTTGCGTGTTACAATGTGTTTTAACTTTTAAGTGATGACAAAATGTGGCACAAATTACTGGTTATATCCTAGTTTCATTGCACCTCCATCTCAAGGGGGTAGCTGGCCCAAGAATATGTCTACGATCACATGTTTGATATGGGCATCATTTTTAAAGCACAAATTTGGAGTATTAATTTATTTAACAACAACAACCCAGTTGAATCCCACAAAAGTAGGGTCTGGGGAGGGTGTGTGTACGCAGACCTTACCCCTACTCGAAATTAGAGAGGCTGTTTCCAAAGAGACCCCCCGGCTCAGCGTCAAAAGTTGAACTGATTAACTAACCTCATTAATTAAAGAAGCGCAAACAATTTAGAGATCCATTTGGCTTTATTCCACCACACCCAAAGCCAAAAAATAGTCAATTTTTGGCTCCATAAGAGATGATAGAAATTATTAATTTATTTAATAAATTAATATATAAAGATACGTAATTAAAAAGTCTTTATTGGTGTTTATTGAATGAAATGCATTTGTTTTTCAATATTTAGAAATACTTTTGGTAATTCACAACTGCGGTTTTGTTTATTGGTACTGCAGTTTAATCTAAACCATTCAAAACAAAATAAATGTAAGCATGGACGAGACTTGGGTTTGCATTGATGTGGGCAATATTTTTCTTTATGTATTTGGGCAAATGATTTCATGTGTATATTAAAAATCTTATACTCTGTCCCTAATTGAACTTCACATTGCTTTTATCATGGAGTTTAAGATAGTGGTGTTGTATGGTTGAGATTTATTTATAAATTAAAGAAACAAAATTAACAACACATTTATTTTCTTGAAGGGAAATGTGGAGTTTATTTAGAGACAACCCAAAAAGGAAAAGGGAAGTTTATTAAGAGACAGATGGTGTATACACACTAGTTAGGTTCCTTAATCTAAGTGCCTAAATCTAAGTGTAGCTACCCTTACTAGGTTCCTAAATTTGAGCGTTGTATAAAGATTACAAAGAGAACTTTCTAATGAAATATGTTCGTACATTGATTTTATTTTATAAACCGAGTCTAATGAAATACATTAATGGAAAAAAGAAAGTCATTATTGACAATTTTTTAAAGTTAAGGTAAATAATGGATTAGTTAGCACATTAAACTTCCCTTGCTTCTTACTTTCTATCTTTATGAAGTTTTGGGTAGTAATGCAGCAACAGATCAAAGGGGTAACAGAAGGAGACTCTGTTTTTTGACCTCCCAGACACCAACATAGTTGGGGATTATATTAGGTTATATAATAAGTATGCAATATTTTAGCATTATCACCTTTCACAAATCCTATAGTGGACTTGTAGTCCATCAAGCATTGTTGATAGAATCTGTGATATTCTGGGTCGTAATATGATGGAATCACTTTGTGTATATGTAGTTTTTGCCTAGGCCCTAGGACCTCAAAACTAAGCAACCCTGTTTCTGTGAAGATTTGCATTCTAATGTTAAACTTATATAGCACTCACTTGTTACCAGGAACTGTTAGCATACACTGAAATTTTTTAAGCATGTAAAAGTAAAACCTGTCCCTGATGGCCTGATGGGACTGGCCTCAACTTAAAAAAATTTGTACTCACAGAATCACAAACCAATCATTTCAAGTAGTACAAAGCATGATTTCTTGTTAAAGTTTTAACATCATATTAATCACCAAAGCACAATTGGAACTCTATGCTTATTTAATATAAGATCCACATTTTCTTAAACCATGTCCTTCTCACAATTTGCTTTTTTGTGAGGGCTAATATTGCATAAGCAGGTGGAAGCACTTGCTGCGGTTGTAGGTGTGATTGCCAGAGAAGTTGAAACAAAAGCCATAGTTGATGTTGGTTCTGGTCAGGTGATTATCTTTGCTGCTAATGAGTAATGGCGATGTTTCTATTCAAACATGTTCCTCTCTGCTTTTCTACCCTACTCTTTTACTACTTGATATACATGCTCCTTTGATTAGCAGTATGAATTGGGATAAAATAATAAATTAGCAATGAATTTCAAACGAGTATAAATATTATTCACTTCTCATTTGCTCCTTCTTTTAGGGTTATCTTGCACAAGTACTTTCATTTGAATATGACCTTTCTGTTGTTGCGATTGATGCCTCTTCACATCATGGAAAGATTACTAATGCACGTGCAGAAAGAATTATGAAGCATTATGCCTCAAAGATGCGCAAATCTGGGTATACAGCTTAGATCTTGAATGTATCTTTTAAAATCAAATTGTGTCAAATTTTCACGATTTCATATGGACCACTTTTGGTTGTATAATGCATTCATTTCGTAATTAAATGCTGACATTCTACTCCTAAACATTTATTGATACTTTCATTGTTAAATTTTAGATTAGAAGGCAGAGAATTGTGCGTGCCAGAGACTGTTACCTGTCAAGTACTGTCCTCTGAGACATTGAAGGCGTTGAGTAATGGCTCACTCCATGAAAATAGTGTTGAAAAAAAATGTCTTTTCAGAGAAAGATCTATTGGACACAGTCCAGTTGAGTACAAATTAACTCCTCATTCGTACAGGATTGCTGATTCACCATTGATTCTAGCTGGACTTCATGCCTGTGGAGATCTTTCAGTGACTATGTTGAGGTGATCAGATGTATGATCTGCCCTTTTCAAATGTCAGAAAAAGCTAGAAATCCACGATACTCAAATTGTGATCCATCTATCATGGTTATTTAGCCCAACATCATCTTTACATGAAAACCCTACTTTTAACTTGTATTTTAGTTTTGACTCAATATTTATTTAATTCAAATAGGACATTCTTGGAATGCGATGAAATAAAAGCAGTGATTAGTGTTGGATGCTGCTATAACTTGCTGTCTGAGGAAGCTCCTGCCATGGACGGTTCTACTTGTGGTTTTCCGTTGAGTAAAAGTGTTAGAAATGTTGGGTTATTTCTTGGTAAAAGTGCTCGTGATCTTGCTTGCCAGGTAGTTTCATTTTTGTTTTCGTATAATATATATGAACCTATAATTACGATCCATTGTGGTTAGATGCACAAGTATTAAGTAATATGGGGTATGAATTATTTAGAATCGAGTGCATCTGAGATATGGTATCTTAATGTAGGATGTCATGTAGAGCTGAATATAATTTAGCCTAGAATCATATGGTAAATAATGAAGAATTGCAGTTTTATTAGCTTGCTTCAGTGCTTATTGTGGGATATTTGTATTGTCTTGCTTTAACAGAGTGCAGATAGATGGAAAGGCTTAGAACAAGCTGCTGGCCTCCACAACTTTGAATTGCATACATTTCGTGCTGCCTTCCAGATGGTACATGCTATCTTATTAGTTTTTTTTTGTTTGAATCGTGTCAAGTTTTTTCCGCAGTCTCACTCTACAATGGTTTTCAGGAGTTGTTACTAAAACTGTTTGCTTAATTTGCAGATTCTGTTGCGATATTATTCAGATGTATTGACAAAAAGTCCTGCAGTAGGACGTCAAGGAAAAACATTACGCCGCCAACACTATAATAGAACCTTGGAATCTAATCTGCAGTGTCAAGGCCCTAGAGGATCTAGTGGAGGCTCCTCAAAGAATATAAGTGATGATAAAACTAAGTGCTCTCTTTCCATCCTTGGTTGTGGACATGATGTCAAGAAGGGTAAACTGATTCATTAACGATGTTATATACTTTCTCCTTCCCAAAATAAGGGTCTTCATTTGTCCAGACACGGATATTAAGAAAGGCAAAATTGTGTGTTTGATATATATGCATAGGAGAGAAATAATACTCCGTATTAACCACACAATTCCTTCTTTAAAAAGAAAGTAGAACTTTTTTTGAAAAACCAAAAAGAAAATGTGGAACAACAGAAAATGTGGAAGTGAAAAGGAAATGTGGGGATCTTTTGGAAAATCGGAAACAACCTTTTTGATGTAGGTGTAAAGGCTAATGCTACATGGTATTTGTTTGTTGATGGGTTGACACAGTTTTAAAAATTCCTCTACACCATTTTATTTATTGAAATATGACAATTACACTGATGTCTATACATTATTATTATTATTCTTATTATCATTATTATAACACGCTGCAGGTTTAGGCTGTGATGGTGATGAGGATGCCTTCTTTCATAAAACATCTTCCACTCCGAGTTTCAGAAGTGGAACTACAAATTCGGTGGACAGTTTTCCATTATTCATGAAATTCTGTGAATCTGGGCTTGCCCGCCTGGGACTCCAGTCACAGGAAATTGATTATCTTGACATATGGAAGGAGACACAATCTTTTTCTGTAAGTTATTTTTATTTTTATACTAAACTGTATCCAGATCTGGTACTTGGATTTTCCCCCCTACTCCCAGAACCCTTGAATTTAATGAACATTTTTTTCTAAAGCAGAGGATGATAGGGCCTTACTGGTCTCTTCGTGCTGCTCTTGGACCCGTTTTGGAAACTCTTATTTTACTTGATCGGTTACTGTTCCTCCAGGAGAGCGGTAAGTGCCGGGAAGTTGGCCTGTTTCCTGTTTTTGACCCAGTATTGTCTCCTAGGAATATGGCTATTATTGCCAAGAGAATGTGAAGTCTACCAGTTGTGTTTATGCCATACATTATCTCCTCTGGTATTGCCAAGAAAAGTTGGAACATAAGATTATTTAGGATTCTTTGATTCATGCATTGTATTATATCAGGCCATTAGGACATGTAGTGACTTGAAAACTATATTAAAGGATTTTTTCCCACAAAGGGACCAAGATGTCAGCACACCTTACTTGGGAGTGTTTTGGCGAAATAGGAATCGCCATGTTTCTCTTGCTAGATGTGCCTAAATCGATCAGCTCTTTTTATTCACATTTCGAGCCAATTAAGCCATCTATATACAATAATAGTAGCATGAAATGTTGAGTTTTCATTTGGATTTACGGAGTAGAGCTTCATTCAAAGTTGGATTGAACAAAAATGCAATTGCGAAGACGAGTCAATGAGTTACAGCTAGAGAAATACAAGATATTTGAGCGTTTCTGGTGATTCCAATTCATGATTTGTACGGTGCCATTTGGTGTATTCCTAGCATTACTTGATTTTTTATGGATGTTTTTTATGCATGTATTACCTTGATTTGTCGTGATGATTGTGGGCGAGTTACGAGTGAGAAGGGCATGAATACATTCGAGCCTCATGCGAGACTTTCTCTGTGCTAATGAGTTGGTCAAAACTACTTATAAGCAATTTTTAACTAATAAATCAGCTGATGACATGTTTCTCCGTACTTATAAATTGACCTATAAATTGCTTATAAGTCAAAAAAATAAGTAAATCTTACTTTCTATCATTTTAGTCATTATACTTCTACGAAAAACTATTTCATTTATAAGCATCTTATAAGTAAAATTTTTTTTATCAGAATTAAGCCAATAAGCATTAGTAGAAATACTGTATTTCTTTGACATTGTAAGTTTGTGACTACACTAGAGGAACAATTTGGAAAAGTAAATCCTATTTTATTCACATTGATTAAACCATCGTTTACAATAAAGGACATTATACTTTGTGACGGGATCATTGAACAATTCTACGATTAAAATAATAGAATGAAAATTATACGCTTATTGATAATGGTAATACTTTATGAATAGTTGATTAAAAAATATTATTCACATTAAAAAAAACAGTTTGCAATATACAAACGTTATTACTTCGTAGTACAGAAGGGGGGCTTGGGAAACAAACAGAATGACAAGGAACCAAACTCACCAGCAAGGCTATTACCTTAGAACCCTATTTGAGCTATAGACAAAATTGTCCTCACCAGCAAGGGTAGAATGTAGCCTTCCACCAGCCCAACCGTTGTTTAGTACGCGAACAGGGTCTCCCCCTACCACACGAGTCCCTTCGATTTGTTTTTCGTAAGGAGAGAGCCCTTTTTCCTTCCTCTCCTTCCTTCGCTTCCTTTCCTCGTCCCTTTCTTTCCTCAGCCAACTTTCTACTGTTCGCTGCACGTCCAATTGCCAACAGAATGCAACCGACATCAGGTAGAATGATATAGAAACATGTATTCATAGTGTTGGATTTGCAGTCGGTCAGCCGAGTGAATCGGGCACAGTGTCGGGTGAGATTAACCAGTTTTCCATATAAAGTCTGGATCCACTCCCTAACCCAATGGGTAGAGCTTCATCTTTCTTTAAATGGGAGCAGTATTATTTTGAATTGTCCAATGTGGGAGGATGGACTCCCAACACATAGCTATTGTTAGGGAAAATTTGTATATTTGTCATTTTTATGGTTATGAATTTAAAAAGAGATGCTTGGTGGTGAATAATGCATGATCATCCACTACAAGTTTTGGATTATTGGCATGAAAAAAATATCTGAGTGTTTTTTGCATAATTCTTCATCCATATTGCTGTTGTCGTGCCATGCAACAAAATTGAACAGAAGTATTTACCATTAGTGACATGTTGCTGGTTTCCTTAACCTTGCTCATTGGGGTAACAAATTGCAACTTTCCATGAGCTACATAAACCTAAAATAAAAGAGCAATAACCAAGTCTGTGTTTCAACAGGACACGATACGAATGCATAATTATACAAGAAACTAAGGAAGTATGGCAATATGAGTATCTTCTTACAATATGAGAAGGCCAATCCTCAAGCCCATCAAAGATATGTGTGGCATAAATAATTGTAGCGCCTCGTTCTTCACATTCTTTCTTCAGGAAACTTAACAGGTCAGCCCTTGCAAGCACATCTAGGTCAACTGTGATCTCATCAAGGAGGAGCACCTACCATGAATTCATATCTTTTCATCATTTGAATTCAATATATGTGCGAAGACACCCAATATTGCCTATGCATCAACCAGAGAAAATATTATGTCAGGAAGCAAAGGTGGATTTGGATGTACCGTAAATGGTTTCAAAAGACCCATACAGATTTGAACCCTCCTCCTTTGACCATCGGATGCTTTGTGTAGCCTCCATGACAAATCAACACCTAATGCCTGCAGCGGCAGATAACTGGAAGTAAACATTTGAGTCCACTATGCAGCTCTACCAATATCTCTTTTGAAGTCATGAATACCCGAGAAGACACATTTGGTTGACTTGGTACACATAACCAGTTTTGCAGGATTGAAAATTGCAGAAGCCTCAGTTTTTTGCTCAACTTCATTTCAATGGATTACAAATAACATAAAAATGACTAAAAATACTACTCGGGTGCGCATATTATATGCATACAATAAGTGAATCTTCTAAGTAGGGATGGCCACCCTCCTAATATCCTACGGAGTAATATTCCACACATACCATAAACAGTGATGAAATACAAATACTCACTATCAGTGTCAAATTTGGTTTAGAAATGTCCCATACCTTAATTAACTCATCTCGCCTTTGGGGGTTAACACCCTTAACCCCATAAATCATTTTCTCAGCGGAGACGTCCATTTGAATAGGCACCTCAAACCCAGCAAAAGCAACTTCTCTCCTCCACTGTGGTTAGAAAGTAGGGAGCACATCAGTTTACTGCTTTGCAGCCACCAATTTTCAGAACAGATAACTGCTTGTCATCAATCTTAGAAGTTCTCCCACATATTTTCAGATAGCAACCAACTAAGCAAGGATAAATACTATAGTCTGTGTTCCCTTTTAACGGGTTTAATCAGCAGCAAACTCACAATTAATAAATGGCAGTTAATATATCAGCAATTAGGATCTTTCAAAGCTCCATTCATTGGCATAATGAGAAAAAAGTTTGATTAATATAGAAGGCACCTGCACTACACTCATTTTAATTGATAACTTCATATGCAAAAAGAAGCACAAAACTAATTGCAAATTTTACTCAAAAATTATATTCCCTCTGTCTTGAAACTAAGGTTTCATTTTTCATTTCAAGAACGTCTCGAAACAAAGTTCTCATTCCTTTTCAAGGAACGAATGAATTGCACCATTCATATTATTTCTTACTCCTCTGCATAAACCTCAACAATACAATTTCGCCCTTCATAAATCCGTGCAAAATGGAAATGGGAACTTTAATTTGGAATATTGGAAGTATTGAACTTTAGTTGAAAGAAAAAGCCTAAGAATTAAACCAAGAGTCAAGCAAGCAGCACATAAACCTAACAACCAGCATAAAGAGAATGAGAAAAAACATAAAATTGAAGAAAAGAAAATGAAGAAACCTCTCCCCCAAGATAACAAAGGTCGCCGGAAGACGTCAAAGCAGTGTCATGAAATGCTGATCGTCCTAAAACTCTAACCATATCTGGATCCACCATATGCTTCCCTCCCAATATCTTGAGAATTGTCGTCTTCCCTGAGATTGTGAGAATCCAGCCCAAATTATATCAGACACCAAATCACGAAATTTCAATGACCTAGTTGATTTCTTGGTAAAATCACATTTTCCGCGGGATGAGAGTGCAGCATAATATGGAATAATTGCAGGAATCTGAGGATAAGAACGAAAATCAAACCTGCGCCATTAGATCCGACGAGAAGATGGCGGTCGCCGGGAAAGAGGGTCAGGGAGAAATCGTCGATTAGCGGAGTTGATCCAGGCGGCGGATGACCGTCGATTCCGGGGTAGGTGAACCTCAACTTGTTGATCTCCACAGTTGGCTTCATCTTTTTTCCGCCACTGATTTCTTTCAGCTTTGTCACTTGGTAACGTCTGACGTCGGTGCTCCGGCATTTGTATTGTATGATTGTCGGCGGTGGGAAGTACTCGTATTTAATGCTGTGCCGTTAAGTTTTTTTATTGGTTTGGTTTCAGTCCCAAATAATTTACAATATTTTGAAGAAAGAGGGTAATATGACATAGAGTATTTTTTAAAATTATTTTATTTAGAAATTGGTAGAAAATAAAAACTAAAAATTATATCATTCAAAAATACATCAAAAATTCTACAAAACTAGATGATGCATCAAGAATATTTTACTTTACCAAATGTTCAATCAAAACAAGTAAATAAATACTCCCCTCGTCCACAAATAAACTTCTCGTTGCGCGTTATGATGTTTGACAGAAATTAATTTCAAATCATTTTACATGAAAAATGGTGTAAAATTTAAAAATAAAAATTACATATTAAAAAACTATATCAAAAGATCTACAAAACTAGAGGTGACATGACTATATTATTCTATCAAATGGGTGACAAAAATAGGTCAACAAAGTGAATAAAGTTTGACCCTGTGAATAGTGAACGAGAAGTTTATTTATGGACGGAGGAAGTAAAAGTTATCGAAAGGCTGAAATAGAAACTGTGACTTTCTTTTTGGGATGGAGAGAGTATAATTTTCTCTCGCGCATTAATATGATTTTTCCCCCTATAATATATACCATACAATCAGTTGTATCATATTGTGAGTAATTGGTCTTCAAAAAAAAAATATTGCGAGTAATTGAATGCCCATTTTCGAGTAACTGAATACTCATTTTCGAGTAATGAGTATACGGGTAAAATTTACAAATGGCGTATGAACTTTTAACTTAATTTCACTTCGACATATAAAATTTTCTTCTCTCACAAACATACATGAACTTTATCATCCTTTCAATAAAAGTAGTTTAGCCAGTTTGGAGGTAATCTTTTGGTAATTTTTCCGTGTGTCTCTTTTCGTTCTTTTTTTGTCTGTTTTCCTCATTCTTGCTTCTTTTTTCAACCATGCTAGAGGTGCTTCATGGAATGTAATCCAAAGTGTACACCAAAGTTATGTACTTACATTTTGATGGTTCAAATTAACATAATATGCTAGTGCGATCAAAAAAATTTGCACTAACATTTTGTGCTTGTGTGAACCATCACTCTAACATCACACTGCCACAAAATGAAGATGCATACATACAGTGTACAACTTGAGGTATAACTTTTGAGATACAAGTCGTATAATTGTTCTTTTTTCCTTAGTCTTTCTTTTTCTTCCCTCTTCTTCTTCTTCTCTTCCCAATCCTTTTTTCCTAAGTTCTCTTCAACTAATTATGCACCACTAAAAATATCTCTTTCTCATCTTATTTCTCCTCAAATCATAGGAAAAATGCCTAATTGAAGATTAGAAAAGATTAAAGGTGTTCGATGTCAGAAGATGTTGTGTTTTTCATTGGCTCGTTCCCAGCTTACCCCTAACTTCAACAGAATCACCCACCGTTGTTATCTCTCTCCTTGTTGTCCTAAATCACCTATTAGAATCTCTATCTGCTAGAATTTGAGAAAAATCATTCGATAGATATTATGTAGTTGTCTAAATGTAGGTGTTATTTGTAAAATAATGAAAATTAGATAGAACATGCATAAGCCGCAACTATATTTAATGTCATGGCAATTTAAAAACCGACTGAGTAAATGATCGTAAAGAAACCTTCGAAGAATCTTATAAATCGATTGCATAAAAAACTAATTTATATTTAAAAAATACTAAGTAAGTCACTCGTCCGAACTACAAGTAGTTTGGTGTATCCATGTCGTACCCCACATCTTATCGTTGACACCTCGCCAAAAGTCAATCTTGATTGCAAGTTAGTGTCTCAAGTGATTTCACGTTGAGACAACTTTAGAAGTTGGTCAAAGCATTGCCGCTAGAACTAAACTTCTGCTTCATGGCTACCATTGACACTAACACAGATAACACCCGTTTAACTAATTACACTTTGAGTGACGCGAACATGTGCGCATTCCGCTTCCACCATTAGAGGAAGTCGAACTCATTTTCATTTTCTTCATCGTAGTTGCATGGGTCGCTTTGGTATATCACAAGTTCGTTGTGTGAACTTATCTTTATACCACTTGCAATTGTAGACATGGAGCTAGTCTTATTTTTCTATGACAAGAAGCAACCAATTTAAAACCTTTCTTCCCCTTCACAGAGTATGAGANGTTCCGTACAAATATTGGAATTCATTAAGGGTCCGTTTTGTATACGAAATTGATGGAATTAAAATTGAATTGGAGTTGAAATTCTATAGAATTGATTTGAATGAAATTGAATTTTCCAATTCTAATTCATTTTTTGCACTACCAATTTCAAATCCACATATTTTTGTGTTAATAAACAGCTGAATTGAAATTATTGTTCGCAATTTCAATTCATATAATTTAAATTCCATGTAACAAATGGAGCCTAAATAAAGATTCAAATAATGTGATATCCATCTCAGTCTTCTAGTCAATATGATGTAAATAATAATAACATGAGAAACAGGTATAGCAATACTTTGTGAGAACTTTATAATTCTAAGTCTTGAAGAGGAGATTACACATACTACTAATTTTGTAAGTATCAAGAATATGCAAAAACTAAGCACACCATTTTTTCTCTCGTAGGGGACATAAGGATACAAGAGTAAATCAGTCAGAGTTTCACAGAAACATGTAGCACACTCAAAATAGAACACGTTACTCGTTGGTTTGTAAACATGTGAGAAAGATAGAATTACATTATTAAAAACTTCTAACACAGACAATTTTTCAGTAATAATAAATGTTGGTTCCCTGGTTGTGTCTTAGTCTCATTGTTGTCAGTGTTGGCGTTATTTTTGACAAAAACCTTGTGTGGTAGTTTTAGTACTCAGTTTATCCTAGCTATGTGGTTTATAGAGCTGTAGCATCATGTCCGTCACTCTAATAGTCCAAGTGCATCTGGGACTGATGTTTACCAAACTAAAGGAGGACTCTGAGCTTCGCTGATACCTAGTGCACTACAACCTCCAACATTGATTATAGACATGTGCGAAATTGGAAGAAAAATATATCAAGGACTCTACCAGATAAGCACGCTTCGGAGGTAGAGTTGTATCAGGATTCTACTAGGGTTGATCACGCCTTGATCAGTATAAATAAAGGGAGATTTGTTTCTGTATGTGTGCGAACATAGAGAGAAAATTTATGGAGAGAGAATCTGGTGAGCAGAGTTCGTCAGCCAAGCAGATTGAAGAATACCGTTTGCTGGTATGCAGAATAGCCTTCTGCAGGAAGATTAACGTGCGTTCCAGACAGTTGAACTGAGAAGTACTGGAGCATAGGCCAGGAACACATCACAGATAAGTTTTGTAGTGTTTCAGTCTCGGCATGCATGCATAAACCGAGTTTATTGCATTCCCAGTTGGTTGTAGAGTTTAGATCAATGGATAGATCGAGTCTGTCGACATTGAGGTTGTAAACTCTGAGTTGATATAGTGGGAAGGCTGTTACACTAACGTGGGCCTCGCAGACGTAGGAAAATTTGCTTCGAACTGCGTAAACAATTTGTGTGTTGGGTGCTGTTCTTTTTCTGTTCTTAACTATTTGCTAAGAGGTTGGTGTAGCACTCTGTCTGATAACTTGGTGTTTAGTAGTGCTACAACATCCTCTGTCAGAACCTATTGGTCTTAGATTGTTACAGGTCGTATGCTGAGGGTAGTGAAATTTTCAATAAATTCAATCTTATCAATCACATGAGAAAGTTCAAACTTAAGAAAAGAATCAAGTTTATCTGATCTTATATCTCAAAATCTATGCAATCAACTTATACATAATGTTCCACCAGATTGTAATGTCCTTGGAAAATGTTATCAATTTTCCACTCTGATTAATTTCAAACCCTTCTTAATGTTGGCCATGATCTCCTTATAACTCCTAACCCTTCCCAAATGCATAAATTTAAAATATGCCATGCACACTTTTGATGTAGAAATCTACTCATGGTGAATTGGCGATGGTAGGAGGCAAAGTGCAACAAGTGTAGGAATGGTGGAAGTGTTATTAGTAGTGTTGTCAAATCCGAATGGAAATACTTTATCAAGTGAATTGTATTCTTTAAAAATATGCTCAAGCAAATTTATCACCCGTATGAGATTTTAAATTAAGTTAGCAAATTTAGCTAAGTATTGTCTAATAATTTCTATCGTAATTATTTTTCGTGAATACCCTCTGACTTGAGGGTTGAGTGTACCTTGACAAAAATCAATAAAATTATATTTTTCAAAGAACATATATATGTTAAAACCGCTTGTGCTCTCACTCAACCTCGAATTGGTATGATACCATCCACTCTTGGCAAAGTCTTGACAGATTTATTTTTGGACACCTTCCAAGAGGTCTCATAGTAACGCATTGAGATGGGGTTTGCACCTCAACAAACATCCCTTCAGTCCCAGGCCACACAATCTCGTGACCACTCCTTCAACAATTATCCACTTGATCTGCACACCTTCTTACATTGCCGCTTCAACCTCACAGGACATGTTGCAAACCACCAACCTGTTTAAAATATAACGCAAACCACCAACCTGTTTAGGTCACAATATTTGATCTATCAAACCATCTTGTACCATCGTTAACAGCAAATGGGACACAACACGCAATGTTGGGATCACATTTGACCTTACCCTAACCACGGTCCCCGCATTCGTATGATATTATCCGCTCGAGGCTAGGCACTCACGAATTTGTTTTTGGTATCTCCCAAAAGCATTCATACTAATGAGATGAGTTAGACCTATTTATTTAGGTCATTACCCCTGATGTGGGATGGGGTTTGCACCCTAACCATATACATCAAACTCTCTTCACAAATCATCTCAGTCATTCTCTATTTGCAGATTTAGTGTATTTGGAAAATGACTTTTCGCTTTGCTTTTGGCTTCTTTGATTGACTTTAGCTTCTTTCACTTATCAAAAAGCAAGGTTAGAAAATAATTTTACAAATTAAAAATTTTAATTTAAAATTTAAATACAAAATCTAAAGTTTAAACTTTCTAAATCCAATATTCAAAACTAAAAGTGAAAAATTAAAAATAAAATTTTTAAATTTTAAAAAATAAAAAGTAATTTTAAGTTTTAAAATGTAGACACACAATTTTTAAGTTTACGTTTTAAAAATTTGAAAATAAAAATTTCTTTTGTGTTTTTAAAATAAAAATTAAAACTAATTAAAAATCTTAAAATTAAAAATTAAAAATTTGAAATTAAAACTTTATGCAATAAAATTTAAAAATTAAACATAGATTTAAAAATTTTTAAGTTTAACGGTAAAAGTTTAAAATTTGAAATTAATAATAAAAATTAATAATTAACAAATTGTAATGAAAATTAAAATTAGAAGTTAAAAATGAAAAGTTAAATTTATAAATAAAAATTCGAAAATTTAAACCTAAAAATTAAAAGTTTAAAACTAAAAAATAAAAACCAAAAATTTGAAAGTTAGAATATTAAATTTTAAGTTCAAAATTTAAAATTTAGAAGTTGAAATTCAAAACTTTATCATTGAAAAACTTAAAAATTTAACATTAAATATTAAAAATTAATATCTAAAAATTTTAAAGTTAACATTTAAAAATATAAGATTTAATATTTTAAATTTTATTTTTAAATATAAATTATAAAATATAAATTTAGAATTTAAAAAAAAAAATTAATTTAAAATTCAAATTCTAAATTGTAAAATGTAAAATTTAAAATCTAAATTCCCAAATTTATTTGAAAAGTCAATTACTAAAATGTAAGATATAAAATTTTAAATTTAAAAATAAATTTTATTATATAAATTTTAAAATTTTAATTTTAAAATTTATAATTTATACTTTATAATTATATTTTTAAATTTTATAATTAATATTTAAAAGTTATAATTTAAAATTAAAATTCAATATTTTAAAATATGGGGAAAAAATTGTAAAATTTACACTTTAAAGTTTAAATTTATAATTTATACTTTATAATTCAAATGTAAAATTTAAGACTAAAAGTTAAATATTAAATTTGTTTTGACATTTGACAATTTCTTTTGTTGTAGATTTATGTGATTTGTTTTGAGATTTGTCAATTGTTTTGAGAGTAATTGTAGTCGTTAGCTAGGGTTTTAATAGGTTTGAATTACTCTAATGTCAGGATTTCTTTATTTCTCTAAATATAACTCTATATCAATTATATATACAATTTTGTGAAATTTGCACTGATTAGGACTAAAACGTAAGTCATTTTTCAATGTAAGACTTAAACTTTTTTATTCCCTAAATAAGATTTAATAATGACTAGTGAGAAGAATAACCTCCAAGTGATGTTGTACATTTAGTTGGATAATGACTAATAGATAATGACCAATGATCCAACATTGGAAAATAAAAACATATGGTACTATATTGAAAAAGTCATTATGTTTTAATCCTATTTAGATAAATTACCCTACAATTTTATGTTACCAATCTAAAGTTTAAAATTATAATACAATTCTATATCAATTTTTTTAATTATACTAATTTAAAATTAAATTAGAATTACTCTCATCTAATTCAATTGTATAGAATTTTAATTCGAATTTAGTGTACCAAGTAGAGCCTTGTCAAATGGGAGTTCACACACCACAAATCAATACCAACTTAAATCAAAAGTTATGGCAATTGTTTTCTAAAGAGCAAAAAAATATATCAACTTTATTGGTCGTTCTAAAAACACTTTAATCGTGTTCATAGGGTGTTTGTCTGTGACTTTCAATTGAGAGTGTTCGTATGTTCTATAATAATGCTCTAGTGTGACAACAAATATTTTCAATTTAACTTATGTATTCCTCAAAAAAATAACTTATGTAAAAATTTGTATAAAATTAATAAATTAAAGTTATATATTTGAAAGTTTCTTGAGAAACTTTACAAAGAAAATAGTAACAAAATTATTTTATTTTATCAAATTATTAACGTAAAAAAATAAACAAACTGAATATAGAATGATCCAAATGACAATAAAGAAAAATGTCATTGATCGACTATTAACAAAAAGTAAAATGATGAGATAATTTCTTCACCTGAAAAAATGGCTTTTGCATTTCTCGAAGTAATAACTACAATTGATAAAATGTTAACTTGAAAAGACAAATTTAAATATTAATAACTCTTCAAATTAGAAGGAATTTTGCCATTCCAATTGTCTTCATCATTTGTCTTCACCATAAGAAAATAAAATACTCCTTCCCCTCAAAAATAATATCAACATTTTGAATTTTTTGGTCAACTTTCTACGTAATTTTTAATTGAGCGGATAGAGTACATTCTTTGTCCTGTAATAATGTTCTACAATGCTTTTTTTATTCTTTGCAAAATAAGGTTCTACTTTTTATAAAAGGCAAATTTTTTATAGCTTACGTCATATCTCTCACTTTTGCCCAGTTTAGTCATATAATTTTACTTTTCTTAATATCTATGTATAGTCAATAGTGAAATATTAACATGGGACAAAAAGAGTAAAATTTAGCTAAAATCTATACAAAATTCAATATTCGTACTACCTGAGTACCACTCCACAATAATGATCCAAATAATGATAAATTATATTTCATCCGTCTTAAAATGTTTGTCACATTTGCTTTTTCAACAGTCAGGAGAAGTTTTATTTATTTATACTTTTTCATTGGTTATTTGATAAAATAAAATATTCTTAACACATTTTGTTTTGAAGAACTTTTCATATAGTTTTTAAATGTGTAAATTTTATTTTTTATTTTTATACCAATATTTAAATGAAATGAATTGAAAAACTTGATATTTTTCTTCGTTTTTAGAAATGTGGTAAACATTTAGAGACGGAGGGAGTACAATACTAGGGCCTGGTGCACCCGTATGAACAGGCGCTAGACCTGCCCCCTGCACCCGGTTGTCGATGGTGACAGTGCTGGTTTCAAAACCAGCGGTTCCAATTTTGATTCCGATCTGAATTTTTTTTTCATTTTTATTCAAAGAATGCTACTCCCTACGTCCCGAAATAATCCTTCAGGTTTGACTTAAAACAATTTTTAGTAAAGTGGAATGTTGGTGATCGTATTTGTGTAGAAGAAAGATAATTGATAGGGACCACATATTTGTTTCCTTAAATGGAAAGAGAAAAATTTTTTTGGGACAACCCAGATCGAAAAGATAGAAGATAATTATTTGTAACACTCCGACCTGCATGACCCGGATACACGGACCAACGGATCGACTTGCTACTAAATTAACATCCAAACACAACAAATTTTCAAAACGCTTTAAAACATTCAATTCAAAACAATATTTAAAACATCAATCAGAGTAGTGTCAAAATGGTACAGAAGCTTTAAGTACTTAATTCAAACACAACTTTGGGTATTTTTCCCGAAAACATATTAAATTCAAACATAATACTCTCCTGTCCTACAAAACCGTTCTTCTTTGTTTTTCATCTATCCTAAAAAACTTTTCTCATTTCTATTAAAAAGTCACTATTACCACTTCGAATTCTACACATACATATCACATCACACTTTTTCACGACTAATCTACCCATCACATCTACTTTTACCAATCACATCCAAAGGAATTTTTGAAAAATCAACATCAAAATACATTCTTCTTAAATTCCTTAAAATGCAAAACAAAAAATGTTTTGTGGGGCAAAGGGAGTATTAAATTAGATAAACTCCTTCAACCAACATCCATCCATCTCCTCTTCCTTAGCTTGTTGCCCTCAAGGATTATTTTCTTATTCGTCATTCTTATTACCTAGGTGCAACAAGAGAACAAACGTCACACGCTCAACATTGTTGTTAAGTGAGAAATATCTAACGTTCGATTATGCATACAGATGAACTCACTAGCTCATAATTTCATACAATAACATGCACAGTAGTACAACATTAGTAATATCACATAACAATCATCAAATGAACTCATAAGTCTGAAATCATTATCCTAGTTCATCCTTATTAGTTGCTCATAATTTATATTATTGGCTAAGACCAACACATCTTTATTCTCAACCTTATCTTAGGACTAAGAGCCATTACCTACGACCATGACTCAAGTCTACTTTAGTTAACACATTAAAATACAATACAACTTTTCCAACGAAGGAGTTCTCCGATGGGTGGGTGGTATCCCTGTCTCTTTCAAAACGATAGTTTATGAATCCCGTACGTACATTTTACCCTGCATCCACCAGATACATCGGATCTTCAAAGATGATTCTACATATTAACATTTACACTTAGAATCACACTAGAGTAGTCCTAGAGTTCTTCTAGGCATATTAACTCATCCTTTACTTCTTCATTCTTAAACTCTACAACATTCTCAAGCAAATATACATATTCAACATACAAAATATTATTCAAATAATGGCCTAGCATTGGGTGTGAACACCCATGTTGGAACACGGGTTTATGCCTATGTCGTATTGAAAACCGTGTTCGTTTTATGACAAATTTTGATAATGTCAAACCGCCGTGTAAATAAGAAGATGCTGAACAAACTAAAGTCGAAGAGACAATGGCATATTGATCAAGTGAAAACGAGAACCAATAACAAAGAATGAAGACTTGGAATATAGTTGAGTCAGTCTTTTTGTGATCAAGACCAGCATCGACTTTACAAATTTGG